AGGAATTGGAAAGTGTCTTGAGATGACTTGTTGTGAATTGGCAAATAAAAATAAACTGAGTTGAAATAGTAAATATTTGTATAACCGCCTTTTATGTAAAGAAAATAAGAGGCTCAAAGGAAGAACCACTCAGTTATTATGTTGTAGTATGACTATAGCTTAATGCTTAATATAAAGGCAACAAAAATCTATTTAAAGCCATACAGCTGACAGAATAAATAAAAAAATGATCGAAGATCCAACAGTGCAAGCTCTTTGGTCTTCCAGATCAAGCTCCAGCTGATTGTCCCCCCCCCATATCAAACCAAACCCAAATCATGCACAGAGTCGTGCCGGAACCAATGTACCTGTTCTCATTTTCGTTCCTGTCACGAACAGAGGAACCATTTCCGCATTTGGAAGAAAAAGGGTTGAAATGTGAGGAATCGTGGGGGGGGCAGAAGGGGTGCAGAGAAAAAGATAGAAATGACAAAACACAAGCTCCACTCTGTGCAAACACGGGAGACCTTTCATGCACACAAACACGGCCGGTTAAATGAAGGGACCTCAGTCTGAGCCAGGATCTGCTCACTAAAGCAACAGTCTAAACAGCAGTGGTGGAAAAGTTACACAGTTAGTAAATGAACTAAACTTCCTTAATTGGAAACGATTAATTGTGTCAATCAAAGAGCAGCTCATAACATAAAACTATGTCTGACATTTTATACCTTCAAATTCACCTTTGTCTCTCTAAAGAGCTGATTTTCCTTTGAATACTCAATCTTTTGCTCAATAAAAGCTTAATAATAATATTAGGCTTTTATTTATTACTTTTAGGTCTCCAGACTTGGAGTAGAACGTTTGTTAAGCTTCTTTTTTTTGCACTAAGCAGGTTTCAGGGAAAAATACAGGAAGATTTGTTGAAGCTCCGACGCACACAGTTAAGGGTAAATGTTAGAGCTGGTGTGTATTAATCACAGATTAAGAATATATTTTTAATAAGATGAATATTAGATGAAAGCAGGTGTTGGATGGAAATAAGGATAAAAACCACAGAGATCAGTTGAACCTGGAAGGAACAAAAGACAAATCACTTACAAGGATGGATATGAGGGCAAATGATCATTCCCACCTAAAGGCCTGAACACACCGAATCCGATTCCGATCCGACAGAAAGCTGTGTCGGATCAGGTCGTGGCGTTTAGTGCTCATTAGGGATGGAACGGTTTTTGAAAACCGTCCGAACCGTTC